CGGCAGCATGGGGGCAGCGAGGGGTGCTGGGTGGGATGGGCAGAGGTGGGGTGCGAGGGCTGGATGTGGGACACTGACACAGCCTCATCCCCTCCCTGGGTGCCCCCCCCAGCCGGGGGAGCTGCAAAATTAGGTCAAAGCTTCTATTATTTAACACAAGCAGAGGAGCTGGGGCCAGGAGCTGGGGTGGGGTGGGGCTGCAGCTCAGAGGAAAGGGGCTGGGGGAGGACTGGGCTGGGCCCCACAACCTTAGGGGCAGGAGGGGAATGGGGGACGCAGAAGCAGGAGCCAGCACTGAAGCAGAACATGACTTTATTAACAGCAGCAGATAGAGGGGGCCCTGCTGTCATCCCCCACCTCCATCCCTGCACCCCTCCCTGCATTGAAGGACCAATGTTCCCCTAGCCAGGAGCCCCAGAAGGCTCCGAATGAGCCAGGAGCCACCATGGCCATAGCTCAAAGCAGGGAGCAGCACCGGGACCCCTCGTGCCCCTCAAATAATGATGATAATAACATTAATATTAATAAAATCACCCCAGAGCGAGGGCAGGGCTGGGCACACGAGGGCTGAGGCCTCCAGGAGCCATCTCCCTGCTCCTGCCATGACCCAGCCAAACCCCACCGGCACCAGAATCCCACCCGCGGCCATAGGGAGGCTACTGCAGGCCCTGGGCCAGGATGCTGCCCACCAGCACCGCGTCCTGCAGCGTGTGTTCCACAGCTGCTTGGTCCAGCTTCAGGGAGACCTGGGCGAGAGATGAGAGGTGCTCAGTGCCCCAGTGCCCTGCTACCGGACCCCTGCCCCACTGCCAGACCCCCGGTACCTTGGCCAGCCGAGCCTCTTTGGCCTTCTTCATCTCAAGGATGCCACGGGACTCCAGGAGGGTGACAAGGGACAGACACTCGGCCTGATCCACAGCGGGGAGCTGCTGCCGCCGGCAGACCTGGCTGTAGGTGTCATGGAGCTGGAGCAGACAGAGCAGGAGTTACCCATGGGCTGCTGCATCCAACAGAGACCCCAGGGACACAAACCTGCTCCCTGCATCCAGCCCAGGGAGGCTCCCACCAACCACCACCACCACTCACCTTCCCCAGCGTCACCTCCTGCATGCGCAGGTGCCGGGTGAGCAGCAGCAGGGAGCAGAGCAGCACCTTCTGCTGCAGGGGGAAGGAGTCCAGGGTGCCCCGGCCCCCCGGTGCCAGGCGGTCCCCAAACACCTCCGAGATCACACGGGAGACGTGGAGGAGCCCCACGCGCTTGGGGACGGGGGGTGCCGGGGAGTCTCCTGTGGGACAAAGAAAGGGACCTCAGGGGGAGGCGAGTGGCAGCCCCAAAAGAGACCCCGGACCCCCATTGAGGTGCCCCCCTCCCAGGGTTTTGGCTCCATCGCTGTGTCCAGCAGCAGCCACTCACCACCAGGCAGCGGCTTGAGCAGCGTCTGGCTCCGCACCTCCAGCTCCACCATCTCCACAGCACGCCTGAGGAGAGACAGCCCCGAGCATCCAGCACCGGCCCCCCCAATGTGGGGCTCACAGGGGTCACCCCAGCTGGGTTATGGGTCCAGCACTGACCTGCAGACATCCAGAGCCTTGCGAGCATCACCAGAGACCGCAGAGACCTTTCGGGCACAGAACTGGAGCGCGGCAGCGTCCAGCACAGGGTCACCAGCCACCTACGAGAGCACCAGGTACCATCAGCGCTGCTGCCTGCATGGGTGAGCCCCCCTCCAGTGTGTCCAGCCCCACAGCCCCACCTGCCCCAGCCGCTCCTGCAGGATGCTGGTGAGCTGCTCCCTGGTGTAGGGTGGGAAGTGCAGCAGCTGGGGGCTGCCGTGGGCACCGAGCCTGGCCAGGCTGCGATCCGTCAGGTCCAGCGCATTGGCCATCCCTGTGGGCACAGCGCAGGGAGGTGAGGAGGGAGCGGGTGGCAAAGGCAAACCCCCTTCAGCCCCCCCCAAAACCAGGGCAGGTGGTCCCCGGGATGGGCAGCATCACAGTGTTGTGCACTCACCAACAAGCACGAGCCTGGACCTGGGCAGCCGGGGCCACTCGAAGAGGGTGTAGAGCACATCCTGCCCCTTGCTCTCCAGCTGGTCCAGCTCATCCAGCACCAGCAAACTGCGATGGAGGAACCCACATGAGCCCCAGCTCTGCCCTGCTCGCAGCTCCCTGAGCAGGGAAAGCTGCCCCTGGGGTCGCCCCTCCTTGGGGTGTCCCCATGCCACCCCCATGCAGGGAACTCACACCATGGGTCCTGGGGCCGTCAGGCGCTTCTCCAGGCTCCGCAGACCCTCCCGGCCGGTGGCTGCGGGCAGACCCAGGGGCTGCGCCAGGGAGGGGAAGACGCAGGAGGGGCTGCGCAGGGCCATGCAGTTCAGGACAATGGTTTTGCTCCCAGAGAGCTCGTCCTGCCGGGAATGGGAGCGTTAACACCAGCCACAACCCGCTGCCCGCTCCCCTCACCCATAGCGGTCCTTCCCTGCCAACCTGCTCCACCAGCACCCCTAGGGGAGCTCATCGCACCCCTCATCTGCTGCCGGGACCCCCCGCACCTTGCAGTCGAGCAGGACACGGCTCAGACAGGCTGTTTTCCCTGTGCCAGGGGCTCCGGAGATGTAGAGGCTGCCGGGCCGGCGGCCGCAGACATGATCCCGCAGGAATTGCCGGATGACACCCATCTCCTTCTCCCTGGCGTGGAGGCGGTCGGGCACAGCCGAATGCAGCACCCGCTTTGCCTGCTGGTAACTGGTGCCTGTGCCAGCAATAGGGAGAATTCAGGGCGGGGGGTAACGGGGTGCTGCCAGGACCCTGACCCCCATCCCGCTCCCTGATCCCGCTCACCTTCCTGCCTGAAGAGCCGGGTGCGAGCTGGCCCCGAGCTCCGGGGGGTCTCCTGCCCCCCGCGCCGTGGGGATGGTCCCGGGCTGTTGGGCTTCTCGGGGGAGGCCGGGGGGTCCCCGAAGAGCAAGCGGCGGCCCTGGTTCTCCTTGCTGCGCTTGGCTGGGGAGCAGGGCAGGGCACGGGGCACGTTGCAGAGGTTGTCATCACCTGCGATGGGTCAATAGAGGGGGTGAGCACATGGGCCTGAGCGAGAGGCCATTGGTGACACGGGGCCGCCCTCCATGGGGGGGAGGCTTCGTGTTTCAGCCCTTCCCAGCCCCCCGGAAGCAGCTTTTCCTCCTGAAACCAGGGGAGGCCACAACGGCGGCTGCACCAGGGACAGGGCAGAGCCGGACCCCCCGCCTGCCCCATAGCCCGGCCCCACAGCAGCTCAGGAAGAGGATGAGCCCCCCCCCCCCCAACCCTCACCCAGGCGCTTGCGGGGGCTCAGAGGCAGCGCTTCTGTCCGGGCCGAGCGCGTGTCCGGGCCGGGATCCGCGGCCACGGGGGAGAGCCTCAGGCCGGGGGAACCGGAGCCGCTCTTGGCCGGGGGGGTGGCGATGCGGCGGGCGCTCCTCCTGCGGGGGAAGCCGATGGTGCCCTGGAGCTGCGCGCTGCGGGTGCTGGCCATGGCGCGGGCCTGCGGGCGGAGCGGGGATCGCGGTCACAAGGGGGGGGACGGCGGAGGGAGGGAGAAGGGCACCGGTGCGGTGGGGAGTCCCGCAGCCCCCCAGCGCCCCCCGGATAGCCCAGCCCAGCCCCACAGCTCGGGCCCTTGACGCTGTCCCTGTCCCGATCCCGATCCCGGTCCCGGTCCCGGTCCCGGTCCCTGTCCCTGTCCCGATCCCGGTCCCTGTCCCGGTCCCGGTCCCTGTCCCGATCCCGGTCCCGGTCCCGGTCCCGGTCCCGGTCCCCCCGCTACCGGTACCAACCTCCTGGCGCCAACTCGGCCTCAGCTCCACGGTTCCCGCCACCAGGCAGACCTGGCCCCGCCCCCTGCCTCTCCATTGGCTGCGGCGCCGGCCGCCGAGGCCAATCGCAAAGCTCAGCGTCCCCCGCGCCGCGCCAGGAGGAGGGGTGTGGCTGCCGAGCAGCCAATGGGAGGGGGAGCCCGAGGCCTGGCGGGCGGGGTAGTGCGCGGCGCGCGGAGCATGCTGGGAGGTGTAGTCTGCGCGGGCTGGGTCCCAGCGCCCGCCGAACCGACCACCAGTGACCCCAGTCCTGCTTCCCAGTGCTTCCAGTGACCCCAGTCCTGCTTCCCAGTGCTTCCAGTGACCCCAGTCCTGCTTCCCGATGGTTCCAGTGACCCCAGTCCTGCTTCCCGATGGTTCCAGTGACCCCAGTTCTGCTTCCCAGTTCTTCCAGTGTCCCCAGTTCTGCTTCCCAGTTCTTCCAGTGACCCCAGTTCTGCTTCCCAGTGCTTCCAGTGACCCCAGTTCTGCTTCCCAGTGCTTCCAGTGACCCAAGTCCTGCTTCCCAGTTCTTCCAGTGACTCCAGTTCTGCTTCCCAGTGCTTCCAGTGACCCCAGTTCTGCTTCCCAGTGCTTCCAGTGACCCAAGTCCTGCTTCTCAGTGGTTCCAGTGTCCCCAGTTCTGCTTCCTGATGGCTCCAGTGTCCCCAGTTCTGCTTCCTACTGGTTCCAGTGTCCCCAGTTCTGCTTCCCGATGGTTCCAGCGTCCCCAGTTCTGCTTCCCGATGGTTCCAGCGTCCCCAGTTCTGCTTCCCGATGGTTCCAATGTCCCCAGTTCTGCTTCCCGATGGTTCCAATGTCCCCAGTTCTGCTTCCCGATGGTTCCAATGTCCCCAGTTCTGCTTCCCGATGGCTCCAGTGACCCCAGTTCTGCTTCCCAGTGCTTCCAGTGGCCCCAGTCCTGCTTCCCTCTGCTCTCACTGACCCAGTCCTGCCTTCCCAATAGCCCCAGTGGCTCCACCATTCCCAGCACCACATCCCTGCCCCCCAACCCCAAAGAGTGGAGGGGGCCTTGGGGATAACCCCCCCCCCCAGTGCTCCCAAGCAGCCACATTTCTTTATAACTTTTATTTAAATGCCATTTCCAGCTCCTTGGGGTTAATTCTGTCCCCTCTTAACCCAGCCCCTGCTGGGGAGGGGGGGGGGAGAAGGGGGGGGCTGCCAGCGCTGGGGGAGAACCTTTGTATTGAACCCTTATTTACAGAGGGAGGGAGGGGGGGCCCGTCCTCCAGCGCAGCCCCTCACCCCGCCTCGCTCCACCTCCATAGAAACCCCAAAGGAAGCACAGGACAGTTAGCGGGGAGGGGTTAGTACACCCGCAGTGCCCCCCCCACAGCCTCTGGTAGTACAAAAGAGATCAGTAACTACAGTTAATATCCAGCCCCCCCCCCCCCGCACAGTGAGGAATGCCAGAGAAACCAGCAAGGTACCAACAGTAGGGACAGGGGTAAGGCAAAACGTCAGCTGGAGCCCCCCCACCCCAGGCACGGGTCCCCCCGTCACCTAAGAGAACAAACACCCCCCCCCAATAACAGCAGCCCCAGTTTGCTCCATGGATAATTAGTGTTTTCCCGTTAAAATGCTCCAGTTCGGGAATTCAGCGTTAAAAGCCAGGTGCCTCCTCACCCCATCCAACCCCAGCGCTGTGGGAAGGGGTTCCGGGGGGTTCCCACTCACCCCCTGCTCCTCCACTGGCTCCTGTGCAAAACAGCAATCGGCTGTGCCGGGATAAGGAAGCTCCATCCCAACATCCCGGCTGCCCCTCGCTCTGCCGGTGATCCCGCAGCACTTCCAGCTCCTGCCCTATCCCAGCTCCTCTCCAAGCCCTTGCTCTGCCCCAGGGAATCGGGCACTGAGATACCCCTGGTCCCGACAGGCTCTGCCCCAAGTCCTTGTGTCTGGCTCCCGAGCTGCAGCGGGATTACCAGGAACCCGGGATCTGCGAGGAGGGAGGAGGAAAGGTCCCGTTGGTCCCGGGGGAGATGCATAGATGAGGATGGAGGGAGCTGGGCTGGCGGAAGCTGCTGGTCCTGGGAGAACCAAAGACGCTGGGAGTTTCTCATGCAGGGAGGTGGGGAGGGTCCAGCGGAGGAAGGGGAAGGAGGTCTCCGTGTGTCTGCTCAGGATCAATCCGTGTGTGCAGCCCGCTTTCACCTGGGGATGGGGGGCAGAGGGGGGGCCCCACGTGTAGCTGAAGGACAAGAAAAGCTCAATGAAACCAGAGCCTGCCCCGTGCAATCTGCCATATCCCTGGGTCAGGGTCTCCGTCCCGGTGCTCCCAGAGCAGGATCCAAGCCACTTCCATTCCCTCCTCCACATCCCCACACCAGCTGCCTCCTCCTCCCCTCCCTCCCCAATCCATGCGGAGATCCAGAAGCTGGGATTTGCGCCTGGCACCAGCCGCTGCAGCACGCACGGAGAGCTCTGGGCTCTTCAAATCCACATTAAACATTCATTGCTCTAAAAATAGACGAGCATCCCGTTCTCCCCGGAGTCTCCTGCGGGATCCGCAGGGCTGACGTGCAGCAGAGGCGCACCAAGGGCACGCTGCACTGTGCTGGCAGCGCTGGGCCCATCCTGGGGTGTGAAATGGGGAGGGTTCTTCACCCCCAAATCCCTGCCCAGCATCGGTTTGGCAGCAGGACCAGCTGCTGGGCTCCTTCTGGAACCACTCCAGCACTAAAGGTGCTCAGCACAGGCAGGATTGAGCCCTGCAGCATTTCTCTGTGCAGATTCAGCAGGCAGAAGGGGGTGCAGGCTGCCTTTGGGGCTCAGGTCCCAGGGCACAGAGGACACAGATCAGGAGCCTGGGGCTCAGAAAGGCTCACGCCAGCCCCTGCACGATCCACCCTGAGTAGGGACAAACAGGACAGCGCTGGCCATAGCTGCTCTGCTGTCACCTCCCGCCACCCTGGAGCATGCAGGAGGGGAGGCAGGGACGGTGGGACACCTCCTCCTCCTCCTCCCTTACCTCTGTTTGTTTTGCTGGGGTAGATTCTCTGGAAGTATTTATATTCTTCTGGGGCTGGGAAGTCTTCAACGGGATGAAAGGAATATTTGGATTCAAAGTCATCTGCAGAGAAGGGGGAACAAGGAGCAGGTCAGGGTGAGCGGCTCTGGATGGGCATCAAAGGGTTTCCCCCCCTCCCCAGCTCAGCCCCACCAGGGTCCCACTCACCCAGGAATGCTCTGACGGTGGCGATGGAGTCCCGGTGCCCGTTGCGCACCGGTGGCGGCGGCGGGGGGGGCCCGGCCGGTGTCCTCGTGGGGGGTGGCGGTGGCTTCCCCCTGCTGGGGGGCTCGGTGGAGCCGTGCAGTCTGTAGGGGGGCGGAGGTGGGGGGGCATCACGCCCCCCATTGCGCAGCAGCGGCGGAGGGGGCGGCGGAGCTGCAATGAGAGCTGGGTCAGCGCCGGCGCGGCCACCGCAGCCTGCCAAGGCTCGGCATCCCCAGGGCAAACCCTCCCCTCTGGCAGCAGGGCCAAGGACATCCTCCGAGGAAGCTTTCCAGGCCGGCCGCTGAGCCAGACCACGCCAGCGGCCAGCGCGGCCGGCCAGGGATGCTCCCACACGCTCCCGGAGGAGATTTCCTGCTTGCTCACATCTACATTCCTGCAGTCAGCAGGATATGGGCCAGAGCCTGTGCCCCTCGGCTCGGCTGCTCCAGCCCCTGCACAGAGGAGATCCAAGGAGCCCGAACACACAAGGCTTTGAGGCAACTCCACGTGGAGGCAAGATGCTGCCTGCCAGGGCTGGGAAACCACATCCCCACTGCCATCGAGGTGGTGACAGCACCCACAGCCCCTCTGACCCACCTCTTGCTCCTGCCCAGCCTCCCACGGATGCAGTGGCAGCTCATGCCCCTCATTAGGCTAATTACAGGCAGACTGAGGGAGCAGATCCCCAGCTGTAGCTCAGAGGAGGGACTCTGGCAGGGCCGGAAGGACAGAGCAGCTTTGGCAGGGGACCAGGCGGGAGCTGTGGTCTGGACACGGAGCCCAAGAGCATATGGGGGGGGGGGGGCGGCACCAGGATGAAGCCATCGCTGCTCCCAGCCCCAGAGAGCCCAGGACAGTTCCCGAGGGCCATGGGGCAGTGTCCAGCTGCACCACCATGGGAAAGGCTTCTCCCTCCTCTGCCACAGCTTTCTGTCACCAAGCCAGTGACATTTAGGAAGCTCAGGGGAGCAGCCACAGTGTACATGGCTCCGGCTCCACCATGTCCTCACCTCCCACCCCAGGAGGATGCACCAAACTCACAGGCAGGAGCTGCACAGCCACAACCCACCAGCAGCATCAGGCCTTAAAGGAGCCGGATAAACAGGACAGGACCAGGGACACGGATTAAACCCGACAGAGAAGCTACTGCCCCTGGCTCAACCCCTACACCGAGGAGAAGCCTCACTGCACCCTGGAGCTCGCTCATCTCCTACCAGCCACTAAACACCCCATGGGCAGGACCCACCCCGGCTGCTCCCAGGCACCAAAGCAGCCTGGTCCAGCAGAGCAAATGGTTCTTACCTGCTCCCCGGCTGGGGGGGTCTCTGGCTGGAGGAGGGGGGCGACTGCTCTGGAGAGATGGGGAGGCTGAAGCGGGTGGCAGCGGTGCCAGACCCCGCAAAGGGCCCGGCGCCTTCCTGTGCAAGGAGTTGTGTCTCTGCGGCAGCTCCGGGGCGGATTCGTTGATGGGGCTGGAAGGGCCATTGGGGACACTGGGGGGCTGTCGATAAGGGGGTGGAGGGGGGGCGAGGGACTGGCCCTGAGCCCCTGCCCCAGTCCGGATGCTGACCGGGGAGGGGGGCGGTTTGATGGGCGGTGGGGCCGGGGGCCCGTCCCTGCTGGCGGGCAGGCGCTGTCCCGGGGTGGGCGGCAGCGGCTTCTCCCGGTTGTAGGGCGAGACCTTGGCGCTGTGCGCTGGGGGGGGAGCCGGGGGGGCAGCAGCACGGCGGCCCGGTGGGGGGGGCGGGGGGGCGGACGAGCTGTGCTTCATGCCGGTGCTGCCGGCAGCGTTGGGCCGGGACAGGTCCGGCAGCGACGGCCTCTGCGTGCGCGGCAGCTCCGGCGGCGAGCCCCGGCTGTTGTCGGCATCATCTTGAGGTCGGCTGTTGCTGGCCGGCACCGGGGGCCTGGGGGCGGCTGCTCTGGAGCCGGGGACTTGCAGGGTTTGCTTACCCGAGCTGTCTGTGGGGTAGGAGAGCAGAGGGAGGGAGGGAGGGAGGGAGTGAGAGGCGACGTGCGGCGCTGCGGGGCAGCGTGCCCGTGCGGAACGCTGTCTGGCACAGGCAGGGAGCTGGCACCAGGCTCAGCCACACACACGGCTCCCCTCTCACCACTGCTATGCGCTCTCTGCCTTGCTGGGAGGCAGGATGCCACAGAAAATAGCAGAGAGAAAGCGCTGTGCAGCACACACAACACCAGGGCCCTCCAAGGAGGTCTGTGCCGTGGGTCGCCGCAGCACGGAGCGTGCAGCTCGCCCACGGCCACTCGTGGGGTGTTGAACTGCTGCTAAACAGCTGAAATCCCCAGGCAAGCACAGCCAAATCCTCAACCCCCCTACTGCTCCGGGACCTCCCCAGGGAACCACACACAAACCACGAGCAGGAGGCCATTACCTGAGCTGTCCTTCGCTCCCACGGGTCTCAGCTTGGGAACGCCGCCTTGGAAGAGGCCACCCTTTGGCTGGATGGCAGCTGAGCTGGAGCTGTAGCTGCAGCCACCGCCAGCACTGCCCTTGGGCTCTGAAAGGAGAGAGGCAGAGAGGTTAAGCCTGGTATTAGCTCCTCCAGCAGCATGAAGGCTCTGGAAACCAGATGGGTGAGAGCTCGGAAGCTGTCCTGAAGGACACAGCAGCAGCCGGCGCAGGGCTGAGAGCCCCCCGGCGACAGGACTCACTCTCTAGGATGGGTGCGCTCCGGTCATTGATTTGTGTCACCTTCTTTAGCTTGGTCCCTTTGCAGATGTCCTGCAGGAGGGCCCCGCGGCCCCGCTGCTCCTCTCGGCTCAGTTTTGGTGGCTCTGTGTTCGCCTGCGGACAAGCAGCAGCTCAGCAGCTCGCCTGCGTGCACGGACACCCCGACCCACAGAGCAGGCACAGCCCCACTCCACCTCCCCAGCCCCTGCCAGCAAATATCCTTCTCCACATAGAGCAATAGGGTCGCCCCAGGCTATGCCACTCTTCTACAGGGCAAGGTTGAAACCCCATCCTACCTAGACCCAAAGCACAGCTCAGCCACAGCCACGTGGAAGACCCCCAGCTCTCCCCACTGAGGCACCGAGGAGCAGAAGACACTAATGCAAAAGTACAGCCACGTGCAGCCCCCTCCATGTACAGACTCTGCTGCCCAGGGACCACCTGAAGCTCTCACAGGCTGGACTTGAGGAGCTCCAGAAACAACACAACGGGCCCTGGCAAGCAGCACCGCGTGGAGGTGAGGGCTCAGGTCACGGGCAGCAAGAGCAGCTCTTACCTGGCTGAAGGTGGGAGGCGGCGGGGGCCCGGGCGGCGGCGGCGGCGGGATCGGCATCGTGGCCCCGCTCCGGTGGCTCAGAGGTGGGGACAAGCCTGGTCACTCATGCCTGTGGGAATGGAGGAAGCGGTCAGGGACTGGAAGGGAAAGCCAGAGAGCAGAGAAACACGGCCCCAGGCCAGTGAGCTCCTGCCCTGTGCTGCGGGGCAGAGCCTGGGGCTGTTCTCTCCCAACAGCCTGGAGGTGGGAGCCAGCACCGTTCCCTGCCCCAAATGAGCAGGGCCCCCACCCCAGCACAGAGCCCAGCACATTTCCCTCACGACCGCCTTGCTCAGCAGAGAGAACCCGGCTGAGCCCATCCTGCACCATGAATCCAGCTCCTTTACCTGCAGCCACACGTGGAAGTGTGAAAGGAGCCCAAAGTCTCTGCTGTCACCAACGCCACTAAACCAGCCACCGGATCAGCCAACACCCCAAAGGCTGCCTGCACCCCGCTCCATTTACACAGCTCCGAAGCACCCCTCGAAGCTGCCCGAGCAGGCAATGAAAGCACCTTTCCTCACATCAACCTGATTACGTTTCAATCCAGCTCATCACGAGGCCAAAACCACCCTGTCCCACGCCATGGCTCACCCAGGATGGATCCCCGTCCGCACAGTGCTTCACCAGTGGGGCTCCACGGAGCCCGGCAGCTCCGGTCAGCACCGGAGACTGAGCACGGAGGAAGCAGGGACAGGATGAGCCTGAATCACCCGGAGATCACAGGATGGGCCCCTGGCAAGCTCGTGCCTCTGACAGCAGCGCACAGGTAGGGCTGTCCCAGCAGCACCGGCTCAGGGAATAGGAATGTGGTGACTGGAGGCCTCACTCGGCACTCCAGGAGTTTCAGGTGCTCGGGGGCAGACAGAGGCAGGGGATAAATGCCCCTTTCAGCACCAACGATGTCCTTCCCATAGGAAAACCTGCTCCCTAACCACTGAAGTGGACCACAATACCAGCACAAGGTGAGAACAGGGAAGTTTCACACCTGAGGCTTCCAACTTCCCATCCATGACCTCCAGGGCATGCGACAGACACATCCAACATGACAGTGAAAGCTTCTTCAGGAGCCAGGCACCAAAACCAAGGTGCCCACAACATCTAAAATGGTTTCTATCAGGTATAAAAAACCCTTCTGAGACTCACCTTCTACCAGAGAAACTACAGTTTGCTGAAGGCACAGCACACGGAGGCCAGAGGAAGAGCAGATCCATCCTCACGTGTCACACATTCCCACTCCCTGGCACGGCAGAGGTGTGAGAACAGGAGAAGGGGAGCAGCAGCATCGCCGCGGTGCCAGCGGCTGCCCTGGAGTGACCCAGCAGCTCTCTGCGGTTCAGGGGGATAAAGAACTCAACTGCCTTCTCATTAAAAGCAGCTCTTCTTCCAAGTGAGAAGCTCCCCAAGTGCAGACACCCTTGTTGGGAAGACATTCCTCCCTCTAGCTCCCAGCCTTTCCTAAGTCACCTGGGATCTCGTGTTCTCTGATGGCACCAGCCACACCTCTGCAGAGCTGGGAACGAACCTGCCATGACTCAGTAAGTCCTTGTCCACCTCACCGGGGAAGCCAGCTCATTCCTGCCTCTTGGAAACACACCCCCCCCGACACGTGGGGTGCTGCTTTGCTCCAGACCGAGCTTGAAGCCTCGCACACGTCCATCAACTCCTCCTTCAGCCCCACCAAGCCGGGATGCTCCACAGACTGGAACCAAGCCCAGCGAACCCATTCAGCCTGCACCTTTCCCACCAAAGCAAGATCAGAGCCGGCTCACAACGTGCTCGTCTGGCACTGCCGGGACGTGTTGCAACAGGAATGCTTTTCCCCTGTGCCGCTTCCCACCCCGCAGCAGGATGGAAGGGCCGGGCCGGCGCAAGCTGCTGCCAGGACGGAGCGCGACGGCGGGGGCACAGGATGGGCAGGAGAGCCCCGGCCTCTTTGGAACACCAGCAGCAGGAGGTAATTATCAGCGAGAGAGCTGAGAAACGTGCCAGGTAATGAGAGACTCCTGCCTGGGTCTCATGTGTCACAGGCCGGAGCCAGCACAGGATTGGTGCCAGCCCTGCCGCTTGTCACCTCTGCTCCCGACCCACGGGAACACAAACACCTCCTCCTCACCACCAACCCGTTAACGCTCCCGCTGGCTACTCACAGGCTCCGCACCTCGATGGCGCTTGGGGTCACCGGAGCTCCTTTACCACTCCCGTGCCAGGGACACGGGCAGACGGAGAGCGGGACGTCAGCCACCAGAACACAAGTCATGGCTGCAAGGGAAGCGCGCTGCTCGGGTCCCCCCCCCCACGTAAGCCCTGCGTCAGGGGACAATCCCAACGTGACATTACTCCTGTAAGCAGAGCCGGGGAGGAGAGGGGTATTTCTACAAAGAAACCATGAGCCATGACCTCCCCATAGCTACCATGCCCTTCAAAACCAGCGCTGCACCGAAACCCACGTTCAGATAAAGGCTCTGACCTAGGAGAGCAAGAGGAGGGGAAAGAAGACTCGAAGCTCAAGCAGCTTGAGGAGACACTGAATTCCTGAGAAAGGGGTCATTCCGTTTCAGCACACGGCCCCGTTCAGGTTGTGGATTAACAGCAAAGGTCACATTGAGAAGCCCAGCTCAAGAGGCACCGGACGCAGCACACGGTGGCTGCCGCTTGTTTCATCCCATGGGAAACGCCGAGCCCTCCGGGTGGGAAGGCTGCAGTGCCTTTAAAATAAAGCCGAAACCTTCAGTGGCCATGAGGACAGACACAGCTGATAAAGATTAGGGAGGCACAGCTAAATCCTCCAGGAACAAAACACCAAGGGGAGCTCTCCCAGCACTGCTCACCACCCCTCCATGGTCTGGCGTATGCCTGACGGAAACCATGCCCTTTGAAACAATGCTGCTCCGACAGCCGCCTTCTCCGCGTGCCTTCTCCTTTGTTCTTCGTTACCAGGGATCCTTTCACCCAGCCAGGGCTGAGCCGCTGAGAGCTCCCTGTGCTCGCAGGGAAAGTGCTTTGAAAGACCTGAAGCAGGGCAGGAGAGACCCCCGTGAGATGAGAGCACAGGGGAGCGCAGCCTGGGGTAGGTTTGCACCTCGGCTTCCCCTGGACAATGAAAGCACAAAGCCAAGGAAGCTGTGAGGAACCCCGGGGAAGAGAACGCGTGAACAGCCCTTTGGAGGGCAGGGAGCTCACCGAAACGAGGTGACCCTGCAGAGAGCTGCTGCTCAGCAGCCACGCTGGACCCTCACCACCACCACCACCACCACCGCCGCCGCGTGTCCCCTGACAACCCTGGCTTCAGAACACTGTTAAACCCCATTCAGCAGCCCCCCCCTCTCCCAGAAATGAGCTGCATTAGCCAGAGCTGGCCGGGACAAGACTACAGGCCACGTTTTTCAAGTCCTCATTTGCTGAAAGGAGATGAAATGTCTCTTCCAGCACAGCAAGCGAAGCAGCCCCAGCTCCTGCTCGCCCCTCGGGGGGCTTTGCCGTTGTAGCAGCCCAGGCAGCAGTGACCTTCAGCCGCCGTTCCCTCGCCTTTCAGAGGGATTTGGGTGCTGTGGCAGATTTGTATTTCACAGCTACGCCGCAGCGAGCCCGCATTTGCAAACGCGAGATGAAGCTTGGTCCTCAGGGAGGCAGCGGCTTTGAACTGCAGATCAAGAGGAATTTCCAGCCCTCTGATGTCGGCTGCAGAATGCAGCTGCACCGGTTTGGGGATGACTTCCAAGGCTGGACCTCTGAAACACCCTCCCTCCCTCTCCCGCCTCGCAGGGCGCCTTTATCTTCCACCTCTTCCCATCCCAAGCCTCAGTTACCCTGAGCGCTGCCCTTCCCAATTGAGAGCCTGTCCTCCAAAGGCTGACATTTCTGCCCGCTCCCGAGGAGCGGGGGCTCCGGCAGCACCGAGGATGCGCCATAAATAATTTATCCTGAACGACAGCAGAACAGGATTTGAGGTCATTCAGGCTTTCAAAATCATATCGGCGTGCGCTGAGAGCGCGAGCTGCCATCTCCATTTGGAGCGCCTCAAAGAGCTGGTGCATCTCTGCGTGCAGACACACAGACAGCCGGCAGCCCCGCGGGACTCAGACGTTCGCTCTCAATTATTCACAACCCACGGGCACTGACAATGTGTTTTTAACAAACCCCCCCCTACAACACAACGGTTCCGGATGCCCCCCGGGCTCAGTTCCGCAGCCACGGCTTCCCCAGCCCGGCCACGGGACCCCCGGGGTCGGGCTGGCCTTTAGCAGCTTTCCACCCAGCTCGGCTCGCTTGCCAGAGGAAACCTTTAATCAGGAGCAAGGAATTGCGGTCTGACGTTCGGCTGCAGCAAAGGGCAGGAAAAGCCCATCCCAGGAGAGCCCAGAGAGTTCCCTGCCTCTCCCCATCCCATGTGCCAGGCGAGGAGGGAAAGGAAACTGGGGAGGGAGAGGGTGGCACCGAAGGGAGCGGGCAGGAACGGCTCGGAACCACTGCTCTCCGACGGACACCTCCAATTGTTCCAGCGGGAGGAAGCGGCGGGAGACGCGAGGACTTCCCGACGGCTGCGCCGTGACCCACTGCTGGGAATAACGTGCTGCAGGGCCCACGCCTCGCACAGAACAATGCACTGCCTGGAAAGCAGCTCCCGAGCCTGGTGCTGTTAGTGGAGAGCTCAGATTAAAGTGACTTCTTACCAACTGCCCCTCAGCGCAGGTTCCAGCATCCTCTATGCATTTAGAGGGAACGGCGCTGGATGGAGCCAACGGAGCTGGGAGCTCCTTGAGGAGCAAGAAGAACGTTGGTGGCTTCAGGCTGCTGCAAGCAGGATGGGAAGCAAAGAAAAGCTCCAGCAGCCTCCAAGAGCCTTTGAAAGTGGCTCACACGCTACCAACGAAGAGCCAGGGCACCGAGCAAACCCGCAGCTCTGGAACCTGACAGCGCACAAAGTTATCTGGGAAGCAGCACCAGATGCTCCATGGCAGCAGCAGCCTCACAGGGCAGCAGCAGGCAGGCTCCAGCTCCAGCCTGCCACCCTGAGCTGATGCTGTCACTGCCGCAGCAGGTCTGAGCCAGGGACAGCACAAAGCCACATAGAGCACACGAAGTGGATGGCACGGCGCTGAAGGCTGCGCTACCAAACCAACCCCCGTGGTCTGGCCCGACACAGGGAGCTTGGTTAAAACCATGAACAAACCTGCTGAAAAGCCACTACACCACATGCCTGGAGGTTGCTGTCCCCAGCAGAAAAGCTGTGCCTTTAAGGTACCGCAGGCCCGGCTCCAGCTTAAACCCCTGTACCAGCCTCTGCCTGGGTTTCAACACTCGGCTTAAACACCCCTGAGACCTCGCTGTGCCCCTACACCCTTTGCTCTGCAGGGCAGTGCCCAGGGCTGGGTTAGTCCCCCCCCGTCCCAGCCAGGAGCCTGCAGGACCCTCACTGGGGTCTCTCCCACCCCCTACAAGGCATCTGTGATGCTCCCTCCCTCTTCCTCTGCTTGAGGGGTCCCTGGGGGAGGCTGAGGATGGAGACCTCCACCTCTGGTCCCCTTTGCCAGGCTCTGCCTCCTCACCGCCCTCCTGTGCTGCCGCCTCTTTTGCAAGAGCTGCTCCGTGCCCGGCTGCGGGCAGCAGCCCTGAAGGAGACGAGCAGAGCCGGGCGCGAGGTCTCCTGCTGTTCCACAGCCCCTGGCCAAGTGTTCCCAGGGTTTTCCTAGGCAAAGGCCAAGCAGGGATGCACCAATTCCCGATCCAGAATACACAGGGTGAGGAACAGAGGCAGAGTGCAAGTCACTGGGAGGTGCCTGCTGGAAGGGCGCAGTCCCCACCGCAGGATAAAGTCACCACAAAGGCCTCGCAGAAAGGAAGCAGCCACTCAGAAACCCATCACTGACTGCTTCTAAGCCACTTAACTGGCTAAAGAAACACATCCTTCCTCTAAGCAGGTCTGTACCTGGAGTCATAAAGAGAACATTTACAAGCTGCTGTCGAATCCCCAGCACTCGAGTGTTATTTTGGGCCAGATGGATATGCTTGGTGTTTGTGCAAGACCCTAAAGCTGCAGAAGCCTCACAAATGGGGCTCAGTGCCAGCGGAGCCTTGCTGAAGGTGCCGAGGGCCCGGCCCCACCGTCCCTCACTGCGGCCGCGGGAGGTGGGAGAGCACGAAGGAAGCGCCTGTGCCCGTGCCAAGGGGACCCGGAGCTCTGGGAGCCTCTCTCAGCTGCTCTCCGGGGCAGTGGGTGCCAAGAACACGCTGCGGATTTACAGAGGGAGAGCAGGGATTGCTCCGGGATGTGACCCAGGACGGGGTGTGACAGACACAGCCGCAGCAACAGGGTCCCTGAGGATGCAACCGTGTCCTTCCCAACGCCAGGCAGTGTCACCGGCACCCCCGGACCAGGCTCCAGCCCAGGTTTAAGGGAGGGAAACACCACCGGCCCTGCAGGAAGGTGCCCATCACCTTGTCCTGGCAAGGACACTGGAGTGCAGCAGCAGCTGAATCCCAGCACGATGCCCAGGGCCCCCCATGACCCAGACTACCCAGGAGCCATGCTGTGAGCTGCATCCACAACCCCCCAGCCTGCTCCCAGAGGAAAGGGAAGCTCCCTGCAAGCCTCAATACCTGCCTGCGGCATCTTCCCTTTCCCTTTGAGGGCCCCTCCGGAGCTGCCTCTGCCCCGGCCGGTGCAGCCAGTCCTGCCGAGCAGCATGGATCCCTATGGTTATGGTACTGCATGTGGGAGACGCCAGAGGAAGGAAAGGGAGAAGGGATGAGCCAAAGGAAGCAGAGAAGCACCCGAGCCTCAGGACCACGGCCTCTGTGCTGCAGGAGACCCCCCAGCAGGTTTGGGTTCCCAGGGCTGGTGATGAAGGAGCCGGTTCAGCTCTGCAAAGACACTTCAATTCTTCACTCAAGCTCATAACATCAGAGCAAGGAGCAGGCCCCGAGCTGTGCTCGTGCCAGAGCTGCCCTGGCAAAGGCAGCAGGAGAAACCCAACACGCTCAGCCCCTCGCTACGAGGGCACTTCCCCCCCCACCCCGCTCCCTCCTCCTACCTTTGCTTCCCAACACAAAGCTACTTCTTTGGCAGAGCAAATCTGCCTCCCTTCCAAGCAGCCAGATGTAAGTAAGTAGGTCAGACAAGGACCAGGGCGCCTCAACAACACCACTTTGAAGGGAAGCAAAGCGGGAAGCGAGCCCTGACCTGGAACGTGCCCCCATCACCTCGGTGCTGAGGCAGGGGGCCGGCAATGCCTCACCTCGCTCAGCAAGAGCAGAGGATGCCAGAGCAGCAGCGTGGCACCGTGCACAGAGATACTGGAGACAGGATCTAGCACCTTGCAGCCACAGCAGCCAAAGGCTTTGCAGCCTCACATGGTGCAGGCCTACTTTTAGTGGCAAAAGCTCTCCCAAACAGACCCAAACCCCTGGTAAAGGTGGCACCGGTCCCCTCTGTCCGGGCACTCCCCAGGCTCGGGATGGCACTGGCTCCTGTTTGGTCGCAGCAGGATGAAGCCAAAGCCCTCCCTCAGCCCTCACGGCACAAAGAGGGGTCTGTGCTCCCGGCCCCGGAGCAGCCATGGGAAAACAGGCTCTGCCTTTGCATTCCAGCAGCAAAGCGTGGCTGTGAGAGGGAGCGCGGTGGGAGACGGGACGGCTCCGGGGGGGGGCTCAGCAGTGCCGAAACCCCTCAGGGCCAGGATGCACTGGATCCGCTGAGGCTGAGGCAGGCAGGAGCGAAGGAAGGCAGGCTGTGAGAAGCAGAAGACACGCTCACCAGGCAGCGCTGCCCCGCAGAGCACGGCGGAGCTGGAGCCGGGTGGATTCACACCTCATGGGCACCCCGAGCCCAGCTCAGCTCCCCTCTGGCAGCCGCTGCACAGCAGGGATCAGGCCAGGCCGGAGCTACCCAGGCGGATGCTGCCCGCAGCCAAGTCTGCCAAAGGTAAACCGAGGCCGATGTGGGATGGCGGCAGCGCTCCAAGGCTCGGCGCGGCGCACGCAGGCTGCGGTTCGCTGCAATGACTTCCATGCAAAACCTCTGCCTCCACCTGGCCTGAGGACGCCGCTGCACCGGCTCCTCGCTGCTTTCCCAAGCACCACTTTCCGCCTGGATGGTGGGGATGGGATAACCCGGAGCAGGGCAGTCATGAGGCCTTCAGAGCCGCACATCCATCAGCTGAGGGTCAGGAGGCAGCCGGCGTCTCCTCCCTCTGCATCCCACCCCCAAATGCTGCCCAAGTGCAAGAAGGTCAGAGGGGGGACCGAGCAAGGGGGTAAATGGAGCAGAGCCGTGGTTAAGAGCCATGGGGATTCGAGGTTAACCCCCCCACACCCTAAAAATCAGTCTCTGAGCAGTGCTTGTTAAATAAGTGGGTTGAGAGTGCCCCAAACCAACCCTGGTCTCCCCCGGCTCTGGGCTCGCTGTGATGGGGCAACCCCCAAAACCAGCATCACCCCAAGAGGAGCAGACCCCGAGGAGGGACCACTTCTCCAGGCACACGGATACAACCCCTACAACCCCTCGGCTGGGCTCACCCCGGTGCAGCACATGTCCCCCACAGCCTGAACCCAGGCACATCCCAACCGAGTGCACCGAGGCACGCAGGGAACCCCACAAACAGGGAGCTGGGACGGGCAGGAGGCAGCTCTGCAAGCGGGCACTCAGACAGGGCTGAGCAGCACCAATTCTGCTGAGTCCTTGCAGGGGCAAAGGGGGCAAGCCAGAGCTCTGCCTCCATCCCAGAGGAGCCCCGGCCAACAACCAGCTCCTCACTTCCTTCGCTTACAACCAGCGCTCTGGAGGGCTCCGAAGCGAACCCGCAGCACGCCCGCGGTCCCGAGGGCCGTGGTGCTGCCCCTGGCCCGGCTGCAGCGCTGCTTCCGCGGGTGGGGAGCGCCGGGAGGTCGCGGCCGTGTTTACCCGCAGCAGCGCCCTGCGCCGGCCTCCACCGGGGCACCCGCTGCCCGCCCACCGGGGCTCCACGCTCGGCTCTGCTCAGGACGCCAGCAGGAACCGGACCGGAGCGGACCGGGGATCCCGGTGCTGGGTCCCTGACCCCGAGGGCCCCGCGTCCCCCTGGCCCAACCGGACACCGGGAGGAGCGCAGCGCAGAGCCGGAGCCCGGCTGGTGCGGAGAGAACGGGGGAACCGGGAGCAGCGGGACCGGGGATCCCCTCAGAACCCCCCCCCCGCCGCCGCCATCACCGCTCCAGCGCAGCCGCTCCCACCGGTGGGACCCCCCCCCTCCGGGCCCCGGTGCGATCGTGTCTGCGGGCCCGGCCGCCCCCTCACGTTCACCCCCGAGGATCCCCCCGCCGCTCCCCGCTCTCACCGGCCGCCCGCGGCCTCCTCCCGCCGCACCCGGAAACGCGGCCCGGCGGCTCCGTCCGGCCTCCGACAGACAAAATGGCGGCCCCCGCCGCTCCTGCGCCGCCCCGGGCCGGATGTGGGCGGGGAAGCAGCGGGGCCGCGCCGCCATGATGGGGAGGTCAAGGGCGGGAAGGGCGCTCGGCGTGGCTGCCATATTGGGAAGGTCAAGGGAGCGGCGGGAGGGCCTCGGGGAGAGCGGCGGCACCGGGAGGGCTCCGCGCTCCGGGACGAGCCGCGGCAGACCGGAGGTGCCCCCGCAGAGCGGGGGTTACGGCAGCCAGCTCCTCCCCCCCGCCGTACTGAGCCGGCCGCATGAGCCCGCTGTGGCGGCCATCTTGAGGAGGTCCTTCCCCCCTTCCCGCCTCGCCGCCATCTTGAGGAGGTCAACCCCTCAAAGCCACCGGCATGACGTCACCGGGCAGCGCTATGACGTCGCTCCCCAGCCAATGACATCATCAGACAGGGGCCGGGACAGACGTTTATTGGGGCTCTGCACCCCCCACCCCCCCCACCCCCACCCATTGTTGGGTTTGGTTTTTTTTTTTTCCTTTTTTCCTCCTTTTTCTTAAAAAATAAATGTACAATTCCCGACGGCGGCTCCGTACAAAATATACACGTCTGGGGGGGAGGGGCGGGGGGGCACGTACAAAAATAGGGGGGGGGGGGGGGGGGGGAGTCCGGGGGTGGGGGGGTCCCTGCACCCCGGTCAATGGAGGGGGTCAATGGGGTGCCAAGGGGACACTGGGGGGAGAGATGAGCCCGGGGGTCCCTGTCCCCCCCCCCCCCCATCATTGTGCTGAGGGTGGGGGCAGCGCCCGGCTGTGCCCCTCACCCTGCGTCAGGCCAAAGTGCGTCAGTGCTGGGGGGCACCGGGCCCCCCGGGGAGGAGGGGGGGGGGTCCCGGTGCCGGTGCCGGTGCCGGTGCCGGTCCCTCACTGTCCGCCCGGCTCCAGCTTGAAGGAGAGCTCGAAGAGCAGGTTCTGGTTGTCGATGACGCGGAGCTGCCGCACGTACGCCTTGGTCTGCAGCTGGCTCGGGGATGACTCCAGCTCCAGGCCTGGGGGGGAATGGGGCATGGGGGGGGACGGGGATGGAGGGAGAGGAGCGAAGGGATGGGGATGAAAGGGGATGGAGGGATGTGGGGATGGGGGTGCATGAAGGGCATGAGGGGAGGAGGATGTGAGGAGGGGGATGAAAGGATGGGGATGAAGGGATGTGGGGATTAAGGGAATGAAGGGATGTGGGGATAGGGGGATGAAGGGATGCAGGGATATGGGAATGAAGGGATGGGAATGAAGGGATGTGGGGATAGGGGGATGAAGGGATGTGGGGATACGGGAATGAAGGGATGCAGGGATATGGGAATGAAGGGATGGGAATGAAGGGATGTGGGGATAGGGGGATGAAGGGATGGGAATGAAGGGATGTGGGGATATGGGAATGAAGGGATGCAGGAATATGGGGATGAAGGGATGGGGATGAAGGGATGCAGGAATATGGGGATGAAGGGATGGGGATGAAGGGATGGGAATGAAGGGATGTGGGGATATGGGAATGAAGGGATGCAGGAATATGGGGATGAAGGGATGGGGATGAAGGGATGCAGGAATATGGGGATGAAGGGATGGGGATGAAGGGATGGGAATGAAGGGATGTGGGGATATGGGAATGAAGGGATGCAGGAATATGGGGATGAAGGGATGGGGATGAAGGGATGCAGGAATATGGGGATACAGGGATGGGAATGAAGGGATGTGGGGATATGGGAATGCAGGGATTGGAAGAAAGGGATGCAGGGATATGGGAATACAGGGGTGGGAATGAAGGGATGTGGGGAGATGAGGATTCAGGGATAGAAGGAAGTGGAATTGCAGATGCAGGGACGTTGGGACAGGAGTGAAGTGATACAGGGTTGAAGGCACAGGAACAAAGTGATACAAGGGGTGGAGGCATGGAGGAAGGGGACCGGGATGGGAACATAGGGATGGGGGAGATGCGGGGGATAGAGATGTGGGGATAGAGGGATGGGAATGAAGTGATGCAGGGACAGGGATGCAGGGATGAAGTGATGCAGGGATGTGGGGACGGGGATGCAGGCATGAAGGGATGGAGGTGCAGGGAGGGGGATGCAGGGATGAAGGGATGCAGGATGCGGGGACAGGGATGCAGGCATGAAGGGATGGAGATGCAGGGAGGGGGATGCAGGGATGAAGGGATGCAGGGATGAAGGGATGCAGGGATGAGCTGATGCGGGTGCAGACATGTCCCCATCCCAGAGCCAGCAGCAGGGATGTGGGGCCATGCCCTTACCCCCCCCCGCCCCATACTCACAGAGCGGGCGGCTCCGGTACTTCCGGATGGTTCTCACTTTCTCAGCGATGCAGTGCTGGGCACAGAGCACCCCCGGTGAGACCCCAGCCCCCCCTGGACCATTCAACCCTGCCCTGGGGCATCCCCATCACCAGGGACCCATATTCTGCACCCCAGGGGCCCTTCACACCCCCCCAGTTCCCATCCTCTCAATGGGGTTCTCCATCCCCAGCTTCACCCCAGGGCCCCCCCCCCCCCAAAGGGCACCCACCAGTTTCTCCACGTTGACCAAGCCATCCAGGAGGGTTTTGCTGCCTTCATGCAGGAAGGTGAGATCTGGGGGTGAGCAGAGAGGGGTGAGGGGTGAGGGGGGGCAATGGGGCAAGCACTGGGACCGCAGCCCCTCCGGGCACAGCCTGTGCCCCCCCCCTCACCTTTGAGGATGAGCGGCACGAAGGGGATGAGGGGGGGCTTCATCTTGGCCAGCACCTCCCGGTACGTCTTGTGGTTCCTGCAGGGGTCCTGGGGCAGGGGGGGAACAAGGGGAGCAGCTCCCTAGGGGTGCCAGCACCCTGGTCCCCCACCGCACTGGCACCAGTGGGCATGGGGCCTGGGAACGGATGCTGTGGGACCATCCCCTGGGGGCTGAACACACCCCACACACACACACACCCCCACCCCATAGCCCTTCTCACCGTCAGGTTCTCGAACTTCCGAAACAGGTTCTTGAATTTCCCTGGGAGCTTCTGCAAGACAAAGGGGGGGGATGAGCATCCAGAGGGGCCCAGGAGCATCCAGAGGGGCCCAGGAGCATCCAGAGGGGCTCAGGAGCATCCATAGGGGCCCAGGAGCATTCGGAGGGCCCCAGGAGCCTCCAGAGGGGCCCAGGAGCCTCCAGAGGGGTGGCCAGGAGCATCCAGAGGGGCCCAGGAGCCTCCAGAGGGGTGGCCAGGAGCATCCAAGAGGTCCCAGAAGCACCAAAAGGGGTCCCAGGAGCACCCAAAGGGGTCTCAGGAACACCAAAAGGGGTCTCAAGAGCACCCAAAGCGGTCCCAGGAGCATCCGAGGAGGCCCAGGGGCACCCATGGGGGTTCCAGGAGCACCCAGGGGGATCCCAGGTGCACCCCACATCTTTACCTCCCAGGTGAGGCGCAGGCGGCTGATGGCAGCGTTGTTGAGGCCGATGACGATGGCATAGAAGGACAGCATGTCCTGGTTCTGCTTGCATCTGATGGGGAAGGGGAGGGAGGGGGGCAGAGGGTGAGGAGCAGATGGGAGACGAACCCCCCCCTATCCCCACACTCACATGGCAGCGATCTTGATGAGCTTCTTGAGGAGGTGGGCGCGCTTGCCCAGGGACTCGCAGAGCAGCAGCTCGGTGCCCACCCAGTGCTGCACCTCGCTGCAGCGCTGCAGCAGCAGCTCCAGGTTGGCCGTTTCCCGGCGGCCCCGTTCGCCGTGGAACACGTAATCCACAAACTCCAGCTGCCGAGGGGAAGGAGAGGGGATGGGGGGGGATCCACAGCGTGTCAGAGCCTCCCCACCACCCCACCACCACCACCACAACCTCCCCGGCCCCCCGCGGGGCAAACCCAGCCCCGAACATCCCCTGCCCCGACCTCATGGATGCAGCGGAAGAGCTCCCAGTGGAAGGCGGTGAGGTGGTTGGCGATGTCCTCCGGCTCCACGCGGTGGATCTCTGTATCCCCTGGCACCACCTGGATCTCCTCCGGCAGCGGTACCTGTGACGGGATAACCGGGATGCTCTGATGGCGATGGAGCACCGGGAGGGGGGGTCCCCGTCCCCTCCGCAGCACAACGCGGGGCTCACCAGCGAGTCGAAGGTGTCCCTGGTGCAGGCGAAGAGGTGGCTGTTGATGCCCAGGGTGGTGAAGACGCACTCCTCGCTGGGCTGCAGCACGGCTTTCTCTGCAGGCAGAGGGTGAGCAGGCAGCCGGCCCCGCTGCCCAGCCCTGCCCACAGCACCCTCCCCCGGCCCCGCGGGCACCTCCGGATGAGGCCACGGTGACGAGGATGAGGGCGTCCTCGCGGGCGCTCTGCTCCTCCGAGTACTGCAGCTTCTCGGTGACGGAGGCCAGGATGTCCTGCACCGAGGCCGAGAGCCGGCTGCGGATGGTCACGTACGAGTGGTCGGGCATGTACACGCGGCAGAAGACTGGGGAGAGGTGGGATGGGGAAACTGAGGCACGGAGCAGGCGCTGCTCGTTGCAGCCGCTGGCGAGCCAGGGGGGGGAACCTGGCACCCAGCACCCATCCTGGCACCTGGAACCCATCCCAGCGCATGAAACCCATCCGGGTGCTGTCCCAGCACCCATCCCCTATCCTGGCACCCAAAACCCATCCTGGCACCCAGCACCAAATCTAGCACCCATCCTGGCACCCAAAAAGCATTCCAGCATCCAGCGCCCATGCCAGCAGCCATGCCAGCAGCCGGTACACATCCCAGCACCTGTCCCGGCATCCAGCATCCATACGGACAGCCAGCACCCATCTCAGCAACTAGGATCCATCCCAACACCCATCCCCCATCCTGGCACCCAGCATCTAAACTGGCACCCATCCTGGCACCCGAAAACCATTCCATCATCCAGCACCCATGCCGGCACCCATCCCAGCACCCAGTACTCATCCTGGCATCCATCCCAGCATCCAGCATCCATACGGACACCCAGCGCCCATCCCAGCACCCAGAATCCATCCCAACACCCATCCCCCATCCCATCCACCATTCTGGC